TCAGTCTTCCATCCTTCCGAGGTGGGTGAAATGAGGACCCAGATTGTGGGGGCGATATGCTGACTCTGTAAACCGCTTAGAGAGGGTTGAAAGCCCTATGAAGCTGTATATAAGTCTAACTGCTATTGCTATTGCTATGTACAGATATTTGATATTTATTTCAACAATATTAGGGGATGTAATTTATCATGCACTACTTACATTTTGTAATCCATTGTGTAAGTTAACATAAATCAATTTTCACATGTGAAAAGAGAAAGCACACAGCTGTACTTACTACCTCAAAGGTTTAAGATTAAAATCAGGTGCACAAGATCAGGTGCAAATGATTTAGAAAATCATCAGACCGGATCTAGTAGGAATCTGTATAACTGAAACCTCAGATATTTAGTTTGATTTGCCCTTTGTTTTTAAGTGTGTGTTATCACTTCACGTAGTTCTAAAGAGCTCTCTTGAGGTCTTCAGAAAGAAGATGATAGATGCCTATATGTCTGAAAAGGAATTTAAAAGAGCTTGCCAAACAGTTCAACATCAATTATTCTACTGTTCTTTACATCTACAAGTGGAGAACATTTTAAACAATTGCCAACTTGCTCAGCCTGGGAACAAAGCACAAGTTACTGAATGAAGTCTCCAATCAAATCTTATTATGCGACTTTCTATAGAAGTCTTGCTACTGCTGATATCAAAGTAGTACTCAAGCGTACCAAAAGAAAAAAGCTTCATAAATTAGATCTCACAGGGGAGCTGTGCCAAGAGGAAACACTTGCTGTCCAGAAAGAACATCAGAACAAGACAAATGTTTACTCATGAACACCTAGGCAAACTTTTGGAACAAAATGAACAGGATAAATAAGACGAAACGCAAGAGTTATTTTGCCATAATGCTTGAAGACCTGTTCGGAGAAAACCAAAGACAGCATTTCACCAGAAGAAGACAATGCCAACTGCAAACCATGCTGGTGGCAATGTTATGGTTTCAGGCTGCTTTGCTACATCAGGAGCTGAGCAACTCAACTTATCACAGGATCTAGTATGAATTCTTCAAAGTATTAGATTAGGGAAGGTGAACCTTTTTTGGCTCGCGTGCCAAAAGTGGGGGGAGCGCAGTGGGGTCGTGTGCGGGTGTGCACACCTATAATGCAATGCACGACCCCAGTGCACATGCACGCATGACCATCGCTCCCCCATTTTTTGCATGCTTTTTTTGCCCTCCCCAGGCTCCAGAGGTTTCATAGGAGCCTGGGGAGGGCGAAAACAGCCCCCCCCCACTGCCCCCAGAGGCCCTCTGGAGGCTTCAGGAGCTTCCCTGAAGCCTCGGGAGCACAAAAAACCAGCCCTATGGGCAAACCGGAAGTTCAGGAACAGACTTCCGGTTTGTCTGTAGGGCCGTTTTTAGTCCTCCGGAATCTTCAGAAACCTTCTGGAGTCTTCCCTGAAGGCTCTGGAGGACAAAAAACGGCCCTACAGAAAAACCGGAGTGACTTCAGGTTTGCTCGTAGGGTCATTTTTTGCCCTCCAGAGCCTTCAGGGGAGCCTCCAGAAGGTCCCTGAAGACTCCGGAGGGCTAAAACCGACCCTACGAGCAAACCGTAAGTCCGTTTCTGAACTTCTGGTTTGCCCATAGGGCCATTTTTTTGCGATTCGGAGGCTTCAGGGAAGCTCCTGAAGTCTCCGAAGGGGGCGGGGGAGGCTGTTTCGCCATCCCCAGGCTCCTATAAAGCCTCTAGAGCCTGGGGAGGGGAAAAACAACCTTAAAAAAAGGCTGAAGTCAGCTGACAGGGAAACGCCTCACATGTCTTGACAAATGGATCTGCATGCCACCTATGGCATGTGTACCATAGGTTCGCCATCCCGGTATTAGAGGATGCTTGAAAATAATATGAAACAATGTCAGAAGACTGAAGAACAACTGAAAATGCTCCTTGCAGTTGACCTGAAGCATTCTAGTGTATTCATCAAGAGATGAATCATCAAGAGATGGCTACAAACAAATAAAAGGAAATGGAGGGTAATGGAAAGGCCAGGTCAAAACCCAGATCTAAATTTCACTGATACGCGTGATTTGAAACAGGCTATGCAAGAAACCCCTCAAACAGGCAAAAATTCTGATGGAAGAGTAGAAAAATTTCCCTCAGCTGATGTCAAAGACTGAGAGCGATGCCTATCCTGATGTTGTTTCTGCCAAAAGGGATATATAAAGTATTAGAACAGAAGGAGATTGTATACACCATATATTAATTTTTGTTGAATAGATGATTGCAAAGTCATTTCTCAGAACGTTTTTTGTTCAGTTATATCACCTTCATCTTTATATACTGTTTGAAATTACGAATTGTTGTATCCAAATACGTTTAAACAGGAAAAATAGTTTACATGGGATGTATTTACTTTTTCATGTGGCTGTAGTTACAAAGAGATCTTGGAATCAATGGTAATCCATAAAATATTGTAGGTAACTTCAACAAATACTGTATAATTGAACCATATTTTTCAGTAGTTTTATCAGCCCTATGGCATTCTAAACCTACTTGAGTAGAATAGTGGTCCTTGAAGTGATTTGTTAACACAGCCTTTGCTTAATTAATAATACATATCCCAACATTTTGAAGCCGACAAATAAGGGCTAATTGATAGATTCTCAAAATCCAAATACGACCCTATGAGAATGACTCATATAATAACAATGTATTAAAAATATGAAGCATTTTTCAGGAGGGCCCCAAGATTTTCTTTAAAATTCTGTTCTTTACATTCAAAAGGTAAAGCTTAGCTTAGCTGCTATTATGTGTAGAATAATTTTTAAGTTACCAAAACTAAGTGCAATCATCTGAATATTACTTGGAAGAATATTTTTACTTACTTCCCCACACAGGAATATCTTTGCTTTCAGCTTTCATAACAATGGAAGCCATAGTCATTGTCACTGGTATTGCATCAAAATACGATGAATGTGGAGCCAGCGTCAGAATTGCTGCTTCAGTGGGCAACGCCTGTCTGCCCTTCACATTTATCCAATGAAATCCACCAGCAAGCCACATTGTCCTCATAATTGCCTTCAGCAAGAAATCAATAATTCTGAAAACAAGTGGATACAACAGATGCAAAAGAAACCTTGTTATTTTAAAATAACAGGCTAACCCTTCCTAGTTGACCAAAACTTTTGAATATATTAAAAAACAAAGTTCTTGTTTCTTGAGAATGTTTTAATTTTAAAACATCACACTGTTATGTAAGATAATTAAAAATCGCTTAAACAGTAAAATGTGACCTATGTGCCCAGTGATTCCTCTGATTGATTTTANGAACTGCAGATAACAGTCAGCTGAAGTGGCCTGCAGTACTGCACCCACCTCGGCTCTTGGTGTGAACAGGTCAACAGCCATCTAGTATTGGTCCTTTGATTTCAAGAAATAGATTTGAAAATATACTTCCAAATAATTTCTTAATATTTCCTCTAATTTCCTCTAATAGACAGTATTATTTCAGATATTAATATACACAATTGGTACAATACATACCAGCTTGTTTGGATAACGTAAGATCACTGGTTGCACAGGTACTCCAGGGATAAACGCTCCTAAAATATGCATGGGATACATATTTAATTAGAACAATCTCTCGCTCTAAGCTATTATGGCCTTAAATAAAACTGAATAGATCTAAATCCAAGGAGAACTCACTAAAATCAATGGCTATTAAATTACTTACATCCAACTTAAGTACTGCTGATTTCAGTAACTCTGTTCTAAGCCTGATTAAGCCTGGATTTTGGATTGTGTGAGCAATGGAGTATCTGTGTTAACTAATACTTTAGCAGTGTTTATTTTCTAGACAATATAAACAGCAATATTTCCCTGCCAATATAATCTCTCGACATTGATATATGTCTGTGAAGATTTTAAATCCCTCAGGGCATGGTTATCCCAAAAATGCTTTTTTTCCCCCTCCAAAAGGCAACTGGACTTAATTTTTTTCTTGAAGACATTTTTCCTTGATGTTGATATATATATTTTCCAGAATGGACAGGGCAGAAGTTCTATTACAAGCCTGTTCATTGGAATATACATGGTGTTTTGAAAAAGAAACATTACAAGATGAAACGGATGGTTCTGTCCTTTTTAGAAGAGTTTTAAATTTGAAAGAATTCTGATTTGAGTCTAAAATAAACGTTTTGGACTCAAATTAGGGCCATTTCAACCTGAGAATACTTCCAGAATGGAATAACCAGATGAAATAGCCCATTTTATGCTCAATGTTCTTTGAATTTGAAATGTATTGCATATCTTTATATTTGTTTTCCAATGATACCCCTTTTTAAAAAAGGAAAACAAATCTGTTTTATATAGATTTTCCACACAGATTTTAAGTTTATGTCTTACAAATATTTATGCGAATGTAATTGACATTATTCTTGATAATCTCAATGGAACAGATATTAGATGGAAGAAAAATGCATTATAAATCAAATGTATAATTGGAAAATTAGAAAGACCTCCCAAATGAACAAATCAAGACTGTTTTATGTGTTTTTCCAGTTTCTGCAATGCAAAAATTAACATCATCTTTGGACAATTGCTAGTACCCTTCTAGATTTGCATTATTAACATTCCTATTTTGGTTCATCATTTTAAATTTCTTTAGAATTCAGCAATTTACCCATAGGAGTCCAAAACTCTTTGTCAAAGTCCCAACAAAGGAGGACTTAGGGTTTTTGTATAAAGACATCTCTAATTCCATTTGTATGTTATCCAGTTATTGAAACTGTTATTTAAAACTATTAAACCAAACATTTATCCTAGAAGTTTCCAAATTTTAATTCTAATTTTCTTTTTCTGTCTCTGAGAGCTTTAGGTCATGCCATTGGGGAAGGGACCAGTAATTGGTAGTATTAGGAAAGATTAATGCAATGCAGTCAATTATTGACAATACGCAATCACAAAAACCTGGATTATAAATTCAAATTCAAATATATCCACGTTTTTCATAAGTTATGCAGTCTGAGTATTTTAAAGATATTTTCTTGAATCTCATAGCAGTAAGTAAACACAAAAGCACATACTGTATTTTTCAGAGTATAAGACGTACCCTCAAAAAAGAGGCTGAAAATCTGGGTGTCTCTTATACACTGAATACAGCATTTTTGCCTCCCGAAACTCCACCTCCTTCACCAAAATGGCTGTGCATAGCTTTTAGAAGGCTTTCAGAGAGTTCCTGGGGCTGGGAGGGCAGAAATGAGCAAAAAAATGGCCCATTTTTCCCTCCCCAGCCCCCAGCAGCACTCTATAAGCTTCCTAAAAGCTATCCATGCCCCTTTTTTGACAAAAAACAGGTCCACTTTTGCGAAAAATGGACCGTTTTTGGCTCATTCCCCTCCCCCCGGGAGCGCACTACAAGCCTCCTAAGGGCTATTCGTGCCCTTATTTTGAAAAAAACAAAACGAAACGGGCCACTTTTGGGAGGTTTAAAATCTTTCTGAAAAATGTTCCTCTTCAAAACCTTCTGCGTCTTATACTCCAGTGCGTCTTATACTATGATGCATCTTATACTCCAAAAAATACCGTATATCAAAAAATAGCTTTGCATTTTTCCAGGGAACAGTCAGAGCATTTTGCAAAGTTTTACAAATATTTGAATTTTTAAAGTATTTTGGGTCAATTAAATTCTGCAAAGCATAATATTTACATATGTATAAATGATATAAAAATACTCAGTAGTTACTCCACAAAGGAAGGAAACAGAAAAGGACATATTTTTGCTGTAATGTAAGAAGTGAAACTGAGCAATAATGAAGACTGAATTGCATTGTTTCAAAATCCAAATCTATTAAAGGAAAGTTGTCCAAAATACTTACCAGGTTTGAATGTAATTAGGCAGGATCGATTAGTACAGGTTCCTTCTGGGAATATCATTATCTTAAAAAAAGAAAAAAAATCAAAATGCCTGGTTAATATTGTTAGCCATCTGGTCCATCCTGTTAGGACACATGTTTCAAATGCAGAATTTAGTCTTCAATTTGCTATTTGAAGCACTTGTAAAGGGAAAGTAATCTCTGAAAGAATTCATGGAATGAGGCCCAGTGTCCGTATATAAGCACTCTCATTTTGGCACTGTAAAAGGCAGGAAGTACAGTTAATGTTTTCTCTCCATAAACCCATTCCTTCTTATCTAAGAAGATAGCTCTTTACTGCTTAAGAAGAAAATACGCTGAGAAAGCAGCCACTAATCTATCTCTTCAGAGCCCATGTTTGGAATTCCTCAAACTTCTTCCAGTTCCGGGAACTCATTTCCAGGAATGGCCAAACCACCCTTGCAAGTTGTAGCCAATTTGAGGGCTACCTATATTAAATTGGAGAATGTTGAAAAAAGGGTTCCACCACAAAACCGCGTTCGACTAAAGGGCGCTCGACGAAACCGCGTAGCTGACGTCATCAACAGGGCGACAACAGTGCGGAGACAGAAGCACGCTGTAAACGCTAAACCTAAAATTAACCCCTAAACCTAACCCCACTAAACCTAATCCTAAACCTAANTCAGCTGAAGTAGCCTGCAGTGCTGCATTTAACCACTGCGCCACCTCGGCTCATAATGTTGAATCTATGTTTATAATGTGGCTCTGTGAGAAAGAGAGGATGTGGACGGTTAGCCTACAAGAGAGGTAATAGGAAATAGAATAGCAACCTTCAAATATCTGAAGAGTTGTCACATCAAAGAGGGAGTGAACTTTTATTTAAGCTTCAAGAGTATTTTAACAGGTACAGGATCAATGGGTTAAAACTTCAAGGAAATGGGTTTAGGTTTGACTTGAGGAAGAACTTGAATTGTACCACTTATAGGCCATATATAAATATCACACCATGTGTTGTTAAAGAATCTTCAAAGGCTGGATGGTAGTTTGTCAAAGATGCTGTGGATGCAGCACTAAATAGGGGGTTGAACAAAATGGCCTCTAAGCGCCATTCCAATGCTATGATTCTATTTAGAATTCTAGTTCCACTTCCACCCAGTGGCCAGTTCCGATTAGAACTCATAGGAAAGTGTTCCCAACATGAGATGCTGTACTGCTTGATACTCTGCTGTTATTTAGCATCTATATGAAGTTGCTGGGGGAGATCATCCATTGGTCCGAGGCGAAGGATCTCAAGTCCAGTAATCACACTCAAAGTCAACATCAACATCCAGGCTGAGCTGGAGAAACTGCCTGAAAATGTGGAGAGGCTGTCAGGATCTGGATGGGTAAAATAGGCTCAAATGAAATATTTCCAAGATCAAGTCAATAAACATCAATGCTCTCCAGAAATAACAGCTGTGCTATCCCCAAATGTCACCTGCAACTTGCTTAACAGTGGAAGCCACAGCCGGAAAAGAAAACTTTTTGCCCAGCATTAACTGGCCTGCCAACTGTCTTCCGACCTGAATCAGGAGGCCCCAATGATTGAGTTGAATGGTTGAACTGCTGCAAGGTGCTCTAGGAGGGGCATCTTTGGAGAATTGGAAGCTTCAATTAATCCAGAATGTGAGTGGCAGATTGCCTGGCTCATCACTATGTTTACCATACAGACTTCCCATTACCATGGGTTATTATAGGCCAGTAAGATCCCACAGATTGGGCCTCCTTCAAATGCCGTCAGGCAGACAGTGTTGGCTGGCGGGCTAGTGGAGGAGAGCCTTCTCTGTGGCTGCTCCGACTCTTTGGAATCAGCTACCCCCCGAGATCCGGACCATACCCACTCTCATGGCCTTCAGGAAAGCTGTAAAAACCTGGCTGTTCCAGCAGGACTGGGGCTGTTGACCTCACTGTTGAGGGCCGGCCCCGGTTAGATTGAATGTATGTGGGGTTGTGATTTTAAACTGTTTTTTTTCCCTCTCTCTCGCTCTCTTTTTTTTTTCTCTGTTTGTAAGCCGCCCGGAGTCCTTCGGGATTGGGCGGCATATAAATTTTATAAATAAAAAAATAAATACTTTGCCGCAGTAAACTCTGGGCAGAATCTCTTCTTGCGCAGCTCATGAGGCGTGGACAAAGCCGCCAACCTTTCCTATAGGGTTACCTATATTCTGGAATGTTATCCAAAAGCTCAGAAAACATTATATTCTTGTATGCAAAGACTCTAAACAAATTTGTTTCTATGAGCTTTTGATTCCAGCTGAATATGGAGCTTTTCAAAGTACCGGTTTCCATTTTTAGCTTTTAAATTACTGTTATTGTGTATTGGTTTGTTTTACCGTTGTACATTGCCCCAAATCTAACCCTATTCAACTTCTATCCATTGGTTATCTACAGTCAATCCAAGGTCAATAGTAAAAAGTGAAAGGATTAGTAGAATTGTTTTTCTTTTGTATACCTGCAGTTCATATGAGCCTTGAAACTAGATATAGGAGCCAAGAGCCCGAGGCAGTTCCAAAAAGGAAGCAGGAGCAAGAAAACGTTTTATCATCTATCACAGTAACTGATTTAAAGTCAAATTCTGATCTTCTTTCCCCTTAGTTGTCCTAGCCTGGTTACTTTTCCTGCTTTACAACTCATATTAGTGGCTCTCAGCCTGCCAGTATTGGTTACACTAAGTGTAAAACAAGCAAAAAGCTACAAAATCTATTATCTTTACCTGTTCTAGTGAAAAACCTGTTTTTTTTCATGAAAGGAGTGTGTGCAGAACTCAGTTAATGATTATTCATTCAGCAACCATTCCAGGTTTCATGGTGCGGAACAAGTGGTACAGTCCTTTAAGTCCCGACCGGCTCAGTAGCTCCATGGCCATGAGATTGCAATCTGATTCTTGGCAACTGGCTTGCCTTTAGAATGGCTGCAGTGTCCTGTGGTCACATGATCACTTTTTGCAACCCTTTCTGGGCAGTTTCTCCTAAGTAAAGTCAGCAGGGAAGCTGGCAAGGAAGGTTCCAAATGGCTTCTCAAAGTTGCTTCTGCAAACTTTTTCTCATGAGAAGTCCAGCTAGAAAATAAAAGATCTCAGAGATCTTGTACTCTGTAGCATGTTCCCACATCAGCACCTCAATGCCTGCAATCTGTAGGGTGCTTTTGTCCAGACATGCTCATACCATACCTTGGCACCCTTCCAAACCCGGAACAGTCATTTCTCAGGGTTCTACCACAAAACCGCGTTCGACGAAACCGCGTAGCTGACGTCATCACAGGGCGACAACAGCGCGGAGACAGAAGCACGCTGTAAACGCTAAACCTAAAATTAACCCCTAAACCTAACCCCCCTAAACCTAATCCCAAACCTAACCCTAACCCTAACCCTTAACCTAACCCTAAACCTAACCCTTAACCTAACCCTAAACCTAATCCTAACCCTTAACCTAACCCTAACCCTAACCCTTACCTTAACTTGAATCGGCTTGCTTTCAAAGCGCTATTTAAAGCGCCCTTCTTTCTCCGCGCTGGCTGTTGTCGCCCTGTTGATGACGTCAGCGACGCGGTTTAATCGGGCGTGCTTTAGTCGAGCGCGGTTTTGTCGTGCCACGATTTCTCAGTATATTTCACACATATACTGAGAGCAACATTAAATACCAAGCAGAAGGAAGGCGAAGATCAGAGAAAAGGAATAAACATTTTATAATACCAACCAACAGATAAATCTAAGCAAATTCACAAAATCACCCACACCTTTTACTTAGTATCTTGGAATCTTTATTATCATCAGCATCACCCTAGACTAATTCTTTTTTTCTTTTCTTTATTTATTTTTTGTTAAATATACCTCCGCAGGGCACAATCACATACAATCAATACGATTGGTAAATTACATGAGCTCTATCCCAAGCATAAATGCACCAAAATGTCAAAAAAGTTATTAAAAAAAATGAACTCCACCCAAAAAGGTGATAATGACTTAAGAATGTCTCGGGGAGACTGGTACAATCCTAAAAAGACCAAAGGAAACTTGGCTTAACACCCCCCCCCCCCAAACCATAAAGAATGCACATACAGAGAGAGAGAGAGAGAAATCCCACAACTGGAAATGACCAGGAGATTTTGGAGGAGGGAGAATAATGTATGTCAAGTTGGCTGAATAAAAATAAGGAGCAAAATCCAGATTGCTGACTGCCAATCCTTGAAAACTAATTTAAAAAAAAACTAAAGTTGCCTTCAAGGAAAAGGTTCATGGTTAGCAACAAGGCTGCTTACATAGCAAGCAGAGACTGCAAGGCAATTGTAAACTCACAACAGACAGCAGAGAAACCCTTTAGGGGGGTTGTGCAGGATTAGAACTGAGGGCTGCCAAGACAGCTGGCGAAACAGACAATTTTCATTAGGTCTGCCCATCCTGCTCTCCACCTCTGTCCCTCCCTTTGAATGGCTAACTTGGAAAGAGTGCCTTAATGCAAATCCAGCTGTGGGATTCTGATCCAGTTACACAATCTGGTTTTGGATGCCAAAGACTTGTGAGTATTGTCTGCTACAACAAACTAACATTAACAACAAGAGAGAACAGAGGTGGTCTTCTTGCACATATCCCACCCTTTCGGAGGGATTTGTGTGGAAGACATTCCCACTACAATTGTGCCTGAAGTCACTTTTAACATACACAAAAGCAAACAAATTTTGTTTACAGCAAACACCAATATGCCACAGGATTTTGTTTTTATAATATATTATACATATATATATCTATCTATCTATATATATGTATATATATATATGTATATATATATGTGTGTGTATGTGTATGTGTATATATATATGCATGTATGTGTGTATTTATGTATGTATACATTTAACATTAGCATACCTAGTACTTTTAATTTTCAGAGAGAAGGATGCACTTTGGTGTGTGTTCTTTTAGACTCCTCCCTTCAGTATGTTATGTCTTCAGACAAGATACTTTTTATATGTGAAGAAAGCATCAGGCAGCCATATGTAACATGCAGGCAAGTAATATTAGATACCAGAATAGAAGCTCTGCAGCCACTGAATGGTAACTATAGCTATTCAAGACACTATCAACACAATGAAGGTTTACTGTTCCAAATTTTAAATTTCATACAGATGTCAAAATGCAATTGTCCCACCTATAACATTTCATTTTGGGCATTCACTACTGTATCCAGCACAACATAGAAATCTCACTGCAAATTTTATAAAAGGAGGATGGCGCTTCTTGGTGTTATACTGAGCCTACTTACATAGCCTTATTAATCTTGTGACACACATACCAATTTCTGGGCTATTTCGATGAAAAAAAAAGACACTGTCTATTATCTGAATATTGTGCAACAGATGTTAGAAAAAATGGAGCTACTTTTTTGTGTGCAAAGTGAACTTCAAATGGCACTTAATTAAAACTTAGAATTTTGGGGTGACATCTGTTCTGTAGTAAAAAAAAAAGTTAAATCATGCTTCCACAAAAAGATGTAAGTAGTTCCTATTCCTGTCCCATAATTGCATCATGACTAATAGATCTATAGGCTAAGGCAATCTTTAACTTTATAACCGTTTTTTAAAAAAAATTTGTGTGTATTATGATGAAACAATTATGTGTTGTTTACTTGTGATATGTATCACACTGAAGTAGGAGGCCTGGACAAGGGAACCCCAATACTGTCATTTGAATGAGTATATTTAATGTGAAACCATGATTTAGTGCTATAAGAATGAAGTTCAACTGTGTTTTCATTAAATGCATTTCACTTCTGTTCTGGACATGAAATAAGATTACTTCTGCATTTGATTCACCTTATTGTCTGATTAGCTGGTTAAGTGGTTAAACTGTGTTTCATCTTATCACTGTTTGAAACAAACTATATGGATTATTTTGAAATTAATACAAAAAAAATAGGTTTAGATGACATGGTAATTTGTACTAAATCTAAAACAAAATATTGTGAACTCTTAGCTATTCTAGGGGAAACATAAATACTCAGTGCTTACAGCAGCTCATTCTAGTCACATCGAATTACAGCTTAGGATGGGGGTTTTGGGGGGTATGTGTGTATCAAACATTGATGACATCTTCAAGTGCTTTCCTGTTTGTATCAAGTGTCCTTTCCGGCCAAATCAGTTCAGAGACTGGATATGTAGTACGAATCCATGTTACTGACAACAGTATTAGTGAGAATTTTAAAAGAGAATTCTATTAAAATTTTCACTCATAGTAGTAAATGATGTTGCGAGGTGTGATAGCAAAACAAAGTGAATGGCTTATCTGGATAGGATTGTCATAATCTGGAGAAGTTTTTGCCCATCCTTCTTAGTATTTTGAGATGGATAAGAAATAGGCACCTGCATGACTTCCAACTCAGTTCTTCAACTGCTTGCCTCCCTCCCCCCAAATTGTTGTAAAGTAAAGTAGATAGCCTGTTCATAATAACAGCAAGATTTGAAAGCCTATGCGAGATCTGAGGTTGGAGCCAAAACGTCAAACGACATCCTGGCAAATATAGTTTAAGACTTGTAGTTCATAAATAATGTAACACTGGAAGCAGGAAGCATAATTGGATGAGGCTCTCTCTGGGACTATTTGCTCTAATAAAATCCATGCTTACCAAGTGGACAGAATTAGGAAACAAGAATGCTTTTTGATTACATTATGTTGCTGAGATCATGGATGTGTTTTGTGATTCCTATCCAGAGAAATTTCTTTGTCGGTTTGGAAAAGCAGACAATAGGTTTACTATTTGTTGTGTTTCCAAGCAACAGTGCAACATATTTCCCACAGCCAAATGTAAAGAAATAAATTACTTGACTATGCAAACATATTGGATTGATGGTGCTATTTCAAAATCTCTCTCCAGTTTCTTTCAAGTTTCCTCATATTTACTTCTAGTACAATTCAACAGAAAATTTCAAGCAGGAACAATGAAAATAAACAATGTTTCTTCTAAAAACACTTTTTGTACATTATAAATCTAAGTGTGTTGGGACAACATTCACATATCTTTTTAAAAGGTAAAGTAATTAAGGTAAATGGCTGCAAATGTAATGATGCTTAACATAGCACTTCTGAAATGAGCTAATAAGTCATCATCATAGAATACATTTTATAAGACTTGACAGTCAAGAATTTTTATATCTATTTACCACTGTTAAGGTTTGAAAACAAAAGATTTTCAATCGAAACTGGCTATTGTAATAAAATGATTAGAAAAAAAGAAAGAAAGAAAAACAACAACAATCAAACCAAGAGTAAAGCACAAGTCTTTGGCTCTCCTTAAGTGAATAGGGTATTTTCCATATTTATACAGACCCCTCATTTGCCTACAAGTAGGGGCAATATCACATTTATGCATCACTGAGTAATAACACCATAAGGAAATGCAACTTCATAGAAGTTATTGGGTACTCAAATTCATCTGAATGCTCTATTTTGAGGCAACATGCTGTTACCTGGTGCATGAAAAAGGGAGGGTGATGGGAACATACAAAGGAGCGATGTAGAGAGAAGAAGAATTTAAAAAGCAGCGTTCAAATGGATCTCACAGATCCTAATTAGCCAAACACATTTAATCTGGAAGTCTGAATTGCATGCGCTGAATTAAGCATTACTGAATTGATATTCTGAAATCTGGGTTTTGCTTTATTTTTTTAAAAATGACCTAAGTCCTTCATAAAACGTGCTTGAGGTTAAATATTTTAGTATCTCTCAAATGTTTTTTTTTAAATTTAAGTACACAATACGAGTTTTGCTTGTGATGCCACAGCATCCTAGTATAAAGAACAACCTATTTCATACAATTCAGTGTATTCCAGCCGAGTTTAAAATAAAATATGTTTTTAAAAAATAACATACTGCTCTTTATTATGTATAGCAGAGCTGGATGAGAGTGATATTGATATTCTAAAGAAAAAAGATATTGATCATAACCATGAATGTCATTCAACAATTCTCAGAAAAAAATGTATTATAGCTCCACAAGCAGTCTAAATGAAGTGTGACAGATATTTAAGAGTTCAGCTATGATCATAACACAGCCATGCATGTGTATTTGGCTTGTTTCCGCTTTTCTAATGGACAGGAGGCAAATATTCTTTCAGGCCTGCAAAAAATCAAAATCTAGAATGTAAAGGTAATGCCAAGGTTCATGAGGATGGCTTTATAGGACCAAAGTGTCATTGTTTCCACATCAACCTGAATTCTGCTCACAAATGGAAATTTTATGGGGTTTTAACACAAAGACTTGAAAAAGCTAGTTTTTAAAAAAGACACCAGAGAATACAGTATTATAGATTGTTCTGTATGAAAATCAGATAGTTCTTTACATGCTCCTCACTTTAACTTGTTCTCTAGATCCTAAAAAAGAAAACAGGAAACTAAGCCAAGATCAAAGTGCTCTGCAAAGGTTAAACAGAAACTATTTGCTTATACATAAAGGGCATTAACCTAGATAGGGCACTGCGCGCAAAGTACAAGTACAGGAAAATAATGGGAGGTCTTGTTAGCTCAGATTCGAAGCATTTAATTTTATAGCAGAGATTTCTCAATGTTAACAACAGCAACTTCCACACACTTTTTTGCCTAGTGCTTTATGAACATATGTACATGTACATATGTAAAATAATTGTATGTACAACATGAAGAATATGCATGTGTACAAAATATGGGCCTAAGCATATACAATATCTAGAGGCACAGACGTGCTATAAATGGTCTAAAGAATGGATTAATGTAAAGAGAGGATGGTTTGTCATTACAATCCCAACTCTTCCATACTTATGTCTGAGTATAGTTAAAAGTATGAAAAATGTTCAGTCTTCCATTTCTAAAACTTTTATAGGGAGTTTTCTGCTTGGCATATCTAGATGGAAGCCAATTTTTCTGTTATTTCAAGTTGGATTTTCTTTGGAAGAGAACACTTTTAAGAATGGCCTTATATTGGGAATAGTGAGCCTGATTCACTAAAAAGACTTTTTATATTGGAGACATGGCAAAACAAATAATTTACATAGGCAGACTTTCTTTAATTATGCCATGACATTAGTTTACTTCAGAAAGAAAACAGGAAAGATATAACAGAGTACATGAAGAACATTAAGTGAGAACCTAAAGAAAAGTTTTTCTTCCACTTTCTTCTAAGACAGTGAAAGACTGGGTGGTAGTATGAAAAGAAGGGAAAATTCTGTATATCAAGTGATTTTTGATACAGAATTAAATAAATCAAAGAAAAGAGAATTAAATGTCTTTTAAGAGAGAGAGAGGGAGTGTGTGTATGTATGTGTGTTTGTACGTATATGAACACATATACATACACATATATACATACACAAAAGACACACCACACAGAGTGCTTCCAGGTCCTGGATGCTATAAAGTAGCGGTAATCGTGAGGAAATATCCTTAAATATCATATGTACAGACACAAAAATGTTTATGTGCACGCATGTGCTTATGTGTAAGCATGCACACATGTACATATTTTAGTTTTTTTTCTTTAAATGAATGCTCAAATCCCAAGGCAATGTGGGCATTAATTTTTTTGGCCAGCCAGGTTTTGAAATAATGTAAAAATGCAACACCTTGACTAGGTAACTATATTAAATAATCCGTACTTGCAGATGTCTCTATTTTGACTCTTCCTACTGGTAGGCAAAAGGGGGCATGTATGCTCACAATATATTTAAGAATAAAATGGATAGAAAAAGATGTTTTAACCTCAAAGGATTTTTAAGGGAAGAAAAGCAATCTAGAACAAGATTAATAAACATTTGCTTTTACCCAACCAAAGCAATGCTTCAACTTATTACACAGCCAGTGCATTTTGAAATTGAAAAATGTAATTACAGAGAAAGGATGCAAGAATTTTCTTTCAGATTTTCCACATAGGCACCTTAACTTAATGCCAGTAAAATGGAGAGAGGAGGAGAAAAGTCAAATTTGCACGTATGTATATGACCATATCTGTGCATTTTAAGAAATGTGATAAATGAACGTGCATTTGCAGAGCTAAGAAGTGTTTTCATTTCATACACACTTGGAAGGTTGCTGCTTCTATAATGGACTCGCTGAAATTAACATGATTTATTTTTTTTCGGAACCATTTTTTTTGTTAAACTCCAAAATCTTGAGTTTCAAAGATTCAGTTTTGCCATGAAAGATAATGCTGACCAATCATGGTATTATTAGCTTTGGATGCAAAATAAACAGGAAGGAGAATATTGTTACAACCTATTTTATGTTTCCCATAATGTATAAAATAGAATTTATCACCTTGCATCTCAGGCAGATTCCAAAATTCTCTTGCATCAGAGAATCATCCAACATACCTGCCTCCTCCAAGGATATAGGATGATACAGAAATTGCAGTTCAGACATGTGAAAGAAGACACTACACTAATTTTTGCTCCTTTATCCCATCTGAAGTCATTTTATACTAGTTTCTAGATTCTGTTTTAATGCAGTTCTTTTGGGGGTGGGTGGGTTGTTTAAGCTTACTTATGCAAATGAAACACTTCAGCTCTATGTCACAAATGTCGTAATCAATGCTTCTTAGCTAGTTTATGCAGGACAGCAAATTTCAATTCACTTTTAAAACTGAGTAACTATTGCTACTCCTTGAAGCTTTCGGGGTCCGATAAAAAAGTTTGATTTCAAATCCAATGGTAAATCCTTCACAATCTTAAATTAACAAAAAGTTATGACAATATCTGTAAGAGAGGTACAGATTTGGGATAATTTAGAGTTTTCTCCTCCATCTCAACACCTTATTTTATTTTTAAAAATCACAAAAAAAAATTGTGAATGAGCTTGTTCTAGTGGGAGAATGAAGAACATTTAGAAAAGTAAATGATACACTGGGTATGTAATAATACCAAAATAAAACAGAAAGTCTATTCCATTAGATCATACAATTAATCAAAGAAAGAATGTGTGTCTGTGTGTGTAAAATGTGTGTGTGTTTGTGTGTGAGTGTGTACATATATATATTTATGTATATATAATATCTGTTTCTTTTAAAGCCCTGGCATTCAAGGCATCCAAAGTTATTAAAATAAAGTTCATTCACAGAACAAAAACAAATTTAATTTGAGTTGTTTGCAGATACTGCTAATTTTCATTTTTTTAATTAAAAAATGTGTTAATGTGAACTATGTGCAGGGTTTGTTCCTAGTAGTGGTGTTGTGCACATTGTCTCAGACTTGCTATTGTTGAAGACTTTTGCTCAGCGTCTTTCATCAATCCAAGGATGGGAAAAGGTGACCCCCGACAGAAGTGGAGGGATAGTTTTGTTCCTTCAAGGAGCAGAGGTGGGCGTTGCTCCGGTTCTCTGGGTATCCTGGTCACCTGCTACTGTGTCGGTGTCCTCTGACAAGTTCAGAGCTGTAGTTTTGTTTGACAGAAGGCCTATAATTTCTTGGGTTGGGGCAGATCCATTTGGAAGATCACTGTTGAGTAATAAGTGTCAAAAAGGGAAAGGAACAATGAAGGGATGGAGGAAAAAAAAGAAAAAATATTAACATCGAGAAAAGACATTGGGTATAATTAAGCTATTTCAGATCACCCTTAGTATGTAATATTAAACCTTAAGCAAAAATCTCCAACATTAGTAATATTTTTTAAAGTCACATTATCTTTGCACTCTGCTAGAAATAATCTAATGTTCATAATACCTTTATTCACTCAGTCTATTGTCTCCATCTTCAGATTAACTCTAAACTGCTAATCCCCAATTTCTAATTTTTCCTTCACCTGATTGTTTGGACCATGAAACAAGATTATCTGCCTAGAGAATAATAAATCATCAAAACTGAGATGATCTATAGCAGTGATGGGTAACCTTTTCGGCACGGAGCGCTGAAAGCGTGTGCGGGCGCACCCATAATGCAATGCACATGTGACCGCCCCCCCACGCATATGTGTGCGACCATGCTTATGCCCCCACCCTGTGAGCACGACCCCCGTACATGCCCCTTTCATGTGCACGCAACCCTGTGCATATCCACGCAACCCCTGCATGCTCCCTGCTGCACGTATATGCTCCGTCCCCATGCATGCAGGCATGTCTCCCACATGCACTCCCCCCATATGCATGGCAAAGATTCTGAAAATCAGGTGGCTGGTAGGAGGCACGCGCATGCACAACTGAGCTGGGGTGATAGCTCGTGTGCCCACAGAGAAGGCTCTGCGTGCCACCTGTGGCACATGTGTCATAGTTTCACCATCACGGATCTAAGGTAGAGGATATATTTTCAAAGGGTTCTGCTTGCAGTTTGTGGGTTTCCTTATTTAAATTCACATTCTCCATTAACCACGGAAAGTTGCACCTACAGTACTTGGACATCCCCATCACCATTTGGGACATTCCACAAGTAGGATAGTTTGTTAGAACTCTGTCTCTAGCACATTATCCTAGCAAACATGAACAGAAGCAATAATTGGGGAAAGGTAATCTAATATTTATATCTTTGACCGATGGGGTAGGAGTGTGCACTTAGCACACATCTATTAAAGATCTGGAAATACAACAAGATTGGACTGCTCTTTCCAAGAATATTTTTTGAGCAGTCAAACCGCCCCATTTAAAGCTGGTAGATATTTATATCAAATAACGACCTCAAAAATCTGAACGCTTTTAACCTTAGCATGCTGCAACGTGCTTCCCATAGCAGTTTTGGAGGGCTGGTGCAAAAAAATACCATATGAGCTGAGATTCTGTCCCTGTGCACAAGGAGCCACTGAAACTATAACTCACATCCTGCTATACTGCATTTTTTATAATGACTAGGCTCAATTTATAATACCTTACCTTGTAAAATATCCAGGAAATACTGATCTTTTTTTACAGGCAAACACTGTTATCAAATCAGTATGAATGTAGCCAAATTTTGCTGTGCTATATGTAAAATTGGACAAACTAATTGGTCATTGTTAATCCGTAACTAATCGCAATATATTATTCTGTTTTGTCATTTATTTTTTATTTTTAATATTATTGTTTTCATGCCTTTATTTGCTGGACTGTGACTGAAATAAAGATTGATTGGTTCATATATCTTTGACACATTGTTACCTCAAGAAATTCTTTTTTAAAATTGCCTTCCCATTATTGCAAAAACAAAGTTTATCAAACTTGGCACAATGAGCATATTCTGCTGTGTATCCAGTTATTTTGGCTCAATCTAGAAATTCTAGATCGTTGCACTGTCAATAGCAATATTAAAGACAGTAATATTCTAAGATTGCTATGCTGGTTGACTACCAGCACCGATTTGGAGAATATCTTTGGAAGGAACCAGCACTATCATTGAAAGAAACACCTACTGAGAAAGGTCAGTCATATGCTGTATGTCCTGACTCCTGCCATTTGGAAAACACTGAAATAATCTTAAACACTAGCAGATGAAGTAAAACAATGTCAATACATAAAATGTAAATTTGCCCAAAGTAATACTTAAGTTTGAATTAAATTACCAATAAAAATAATTCTATTACCTGAATGTTAGAGAAAGATCTTCAGGTGGTACTTTGCCTTGCTGTCCATTTTCAGTCTGTTTACTAGCATTCGCTTTGTTTTTTATATCCAATGAAGACTGGCTCTCCTTGGGAAAGGAAAGACAAATCCATGGTTCACAATGTACTATTAAGTTTGCTTTACTGGGAAGAAATTGTGAAGCACCAAGCCAAGCTCTACATTCATACTCACACAAAAGCTAGAGAGGAACATAATCCTAGACCAAGTTGTTTTATTTTATCAGGCTAGAAAGCTTTCCAACAAATGTGCAAGCAGCAGAGACCAAGGAAGTCTATCACCATGGGCTGGAAAACCACCGTCCCCTTTTCAAACGCCATTTAAAAAGTACTGTGTGCAGATTGTAACATAAGAGTGCTTCAGATGCTTAAGAGGATGAATTATTTGCTGTAAATTTGAGTGTTTACCAACTTTCAACTGTGGTAGCCCGCAAAATTAAATTTGTTGAAAAACTAAAACCTATAAGCTACCAGCTCTGAATATTCAAAATGACTCTTGTTCAGAAACGGTGAGAGCAGTTAACACTGCAACTCTCCAAGCAGCAGCAGCATCTTCTCTGCCCACCTTACAAAACACTCACCATGCTTAGCTCCCGGGTTCTCTTCCCGATTTCCCTCTCCACCTGGTGCAGCTCCAAGCTCAGCTGTTCACTTGAGATCATTCCAGGCCACTTAGGAGGTGGCGGTGGGGCCTGTGGTTGGCCTGCCAAAGGGGTCGCTTCCCTCTGCAACAGCAGCCTGTTACTAACTGCCTAAATGCACAAAGCCAAGCACATACACAACTGAGCACACAAAATATACCATGCAGGCATGGGAATCAGGCCAAAATGCAGGAATATTGCTTGGCTTCTAACGCCCAACATTCTTTTTTATTAAAAAAAGGCTGATTTATTTATACTTTATACCCTGCTCTATATAGACATGCTCAAAATTATAACACATAAAATAAGACAGATGAAGCAAACTTAAATTAGAAATATAGTGACTAAAGTAGGCATACTTCTACATTTTATAAAACCATACTTTTTTTATTTTGGAGGAATTTCCTGATGAATTTTGGAATTCTTTTGATGTTTATGAATTCATCAATGATATATTACAATAATCCAGCTTCCATGAAAGACAACATTTTTCTCTTATTTGCAATGTGGAAGTTTATCTTCTGGAGTATATTCAGCCTTAAGCAGACCAACGAAAAGACCCAATAATTTGGCCAATGCTCACTGCAAACTGACTACATCCTAGTATGTACTTCTTGATCTGATTAAGAGTTCTAGTGGAGTACAAACTGTGAAAACACTGATATAAAGACCTCTGCAGAATTGATTTATATAGCACTGTAAGGGTTTATTTTGTCCACCTAGTCAAGGCAGTTTGGGCAGTCCCAGTAGTCATCATTAAGCAAGGACCTATGTGAACATAACTAGTGACTTCCTGCCAGCTTCCTCGTTGACTTTGCTTGTCAGAAACTGGCAAGAAAGGTCACAAATTGTGAACAAATGACTGGGGATGCTGCAACATCATAATTCAAGCATGCCCCGACCACCCAGATCATAATCAGATGATTGCAGGGTCATTGAGACAAATGGCATTGAACAAGCAGTAGTTATAACTATAATTTGTACTAATAGTACGAGTTATAGTTAGAACTACCACTTGTTCAGTGCCATTTTAAGTTCAAATGGTTGTGGAATGGTCGTTAAATGAGAACCACCTGTACAGTATCACTGTATAAATGAAAAATAGTTGAAATATTTCATTTTCAAAATACTGTTAGCACTGAAGGTTTTACATAAATAATTATAACATAATACAGGGATCCCCAGCCCCCTGGCAGGGACCCACTAGTGGGCCATGAGTTGTTTGCAACTGGGCTGTGGAAACGGCAAGTGCGTGTGCATCCCCACTTGCTTGAGCAGCAGGCGAGCGCACATACGTGCCATTCACGCAAATGGAGCTCTACATGTAGTACACCACTTGTGCGGAACCATCCCCCCTAAACTCTCTCCCCCCGCCCCCCGCCCACC